ATTATTTTTTTTATATTATTTATGTTTGGATTAATTATGTTCTATTAGGGTTTAGTTTTGAGTGTTTAGGGGGTTTTAGGTATCAAAACATTTTTTAGGATTTAGAATTTTAAAATATAGGCTTTATAAATCTATAATTAATGGGATTTTTGTAAATTGTCACCCCTAAATGGCATTCTTGCAAATGTGCACACAAAAAGTGGCATTTTTGTAATTGTCCCAAAATATTTTGACCCCTAAAACCCCCCTAAACCCCTCAAAACTAAATCCTAATATAACATAGTTAACCTAAACATAAATGATATAATGAATAAATAATTTTGAAAAATTAACATTTTTGTAAAGATTGTAAAAATGTGGCGTTTTTTGAAAATTCTCTAAAATAATTTATATAAATTAATAACTTTGGAACTTAAAAAAATTATTAATCAATTACTAAATTAATATTTTTTTATTTGTAAGTATCTTTTTAAAAAATCTCGAACATTGCATTATAAAAGAATTATAGAAATGATAAAGATTAAGAAAATATGATATTAGGAATGCTGCTAATTGGTTCATTCCTTAAAATTATAAAATGCAGGGTGTGCTGTTTACACCATCTTATTACATCTGAGATTTCTGATCTCATGATCACAAAAACTTTCACAAAATAAATATTCTTATTACAACATAATTTAGAGAAAATAACAAATTTTCTAAAAACCATAAATTACCCATAAATATTATAATATAAATAGTTGAGAAGTATTGAGTGTTCTTTCTTTCTCATTTCTTCTCGTTGATGCCAAGACTGTTCTTCACACCGTCTAAAGCACCCTGTGCCATGTTCTTCACGTTTTCACCGGTCTGCTCATCATTCAAATATCAGATTCATTAACAAATTTTATATTTAATTTCAAAACTATATAATAAAATTATATAATTATGTAAACATACCTGGCCGAGAAAACCAGCAGCTGGTTCTTTGTTTTGTTGGGCGGATTGTTTAGTGGAATGGGATCCATCTGCGGACTTGTCACGTGCCGACTGTGTGACATCGGCTGCCTTGTCGCGTGCCGATTGTGCCATATCTGCGGTTTTGTCACATGCTGATTGCGCCGTCTGCTTGGCAGATTCAGTCCACTGCTCAGCTTTCTCCTGCAATATCAATCAAACCATATATACATCAAACATATTTTAGGGTTTGACATAATATTTATTCGATATGGTTAGAAGTTTTGGGATCGGAGAACGGACATGAGCTTGGCCTTTGGACTGGCCAGCGTTGAATGCTTGTTGAGACATGATTGATGATGATTCAAAGAGGCAAAAGAGATTAAGAAAGATTTTAAAGTTATGAGAGTGAGTTTCTATTAGCTTGATTGATTGAATTGGTTTTATTCGGGCATATTTATAGTGTTTTTGGATTTTGGATTTTTTTAATATTATGTGATGAATTGAATAAAACGTTTTGTTTTTGTGTGGATTGATTTGTGTCGATGTTGAGAGAATTGTGGGTAGCCATTTGTGTTTTGTAACACATCCTTT